AAACCTAAGGGCCGGCTCCAGGGCCGAGGACAGGTATTAAAGAATTTAAAACTCAACGCAGCGCTAGGAACGTTTGCGACTCGCAGTAGATACAAACGCCACGTAAAAGGGTCTCTGACCTTCCTAACCTTAGACGAGCTGAGATCCCACCCCCAGCACTCCCCTCCTGCCCACCGTGAATATAATTAAGGGGAAGCTGCAGTGGTAATTTCTCTCCTCATTAACTTCCTTATTTGTTTCAGGCTCAGGATACCGGCGGGCGGCCGTTTGTCACCAATTCCAAACGGCCAATCGTTAATACTAATGTTTGTGTAACTAACTGCCAGCATCTGCCACGGCTCCGCGTACAACGGTAATAGTGAAAGGGCAACACTGGTGCTTCCCCTGTTAATTCAGGCTCTGTTCATCAATACGAAAATCTATGATGTAATTAGCAAAACGCGTCGGCCGTCGAGGCAGTTGGAGGGAGATAAATCACGCGGGGGGTGGGCTCCATGGGCCCCTGACACCTTAATCGCCAACACTTGCAACGTTCTGGATTTCACTGTTTAGTGGAGAATACTACCAGCCTGCGACCTCTTAAAAGAGAACGTTGTTTACAGCCATTGCTGGTGTTTCAGAAGCCATAATGAATCTAGTACAACAGCGCAAGAACAAGCAGTACAGAGCGGAGGCTTAAACTCTGTCCCCAAGCCCCACCACCGCGCCGGAGCCAGCAGCCCCTCCGCGCTCCAGCCCCGCGTGCTCCCAGACTCCGGGGGCTTCCAGGATGTCCGAAGTGCAACGGAAAAGAAAAGGGCAGGCTCGGCTTCCACCGCCACGCAAACCCAACGGGATTCAAGGAGAGCGAACAGCAGCCATCTGGGTTTACCCCATCACCCGGCAAACAAGAAACACTCGATTAAAAAGCCACCAACATCCCCTTTCTGCAGTATCGTATGTTTCTGCAGTAACTCCCATTTGCAGCTCAGCTTCCGGATTTGTCCTTATTTTAAACACAACGCTGGTTACCAAGAGATGGAAAAGACATTATGGAGTTGAGGTCTCACGTATCATCCTCATCTGCCCTTCCTGTGACTAGATAAAACAGTGACTTCTGTTACTTTCCGGGAGTTCTTCCTGGTTTTGGCACCGCGGAACCTGGCTCCTTCACCTCATGCAGGTCTCTCTTTGATGTCTCTTTAGGGACAAGTAAGTCTCTAGCATCGTCCTGTCAAAGCAAGGGTCTGAGATCATCCTGCCAAAGCAGACTCTACTACTGTTGTCTGTAGAATCATTTACATTGGAGGAGACCTTCAAGATCAACAAGTCCAACCATTAACCTGTCAGCTCCACCACCAAACCATGTCCCTAAGCTTCGCATCTACACATCTTTTAAACACCTCCAGGGATGCTGCCTCAACCACTTTGATAGAGCGGATTGTAAGAAACGTGAAACTATAAGAAAGAAGCCTTAATATTTTCTAGTTTTTAGTAGTCTTTAGTACTGTAACTTGTATTCCTGCATGCATAGTGATCGAACGATGTAACTGTTACACTAATCCCTGTTTTCTCATTAAGGAATGTAGTGGAAGGACGTGGGCACAAGCTACCACTTAGTCGTTAGACAAAATAATTAAGTGAAACAAAAGTGGTCTTGGTTCTCAGCAAATAATTGGGATAATTGTGGGATAAAAGAGACTCCTAAATAATTCTGCTCCAGACAGCTCAGCCTTGGGAGCGCAGATACACCAAGCTACAGAGATAAGGATGCACCAAGAGAGCAACAAGACCAGAGCCAAACACCCTGAAGGACATGATGTACGTGATCCTAGAACTGAGTTTGCGCAGAAACAAATGTCAATCAGTGAACAGCGTGATGAAGAGGAGGGCCTTCATCTTGGGACCCCCAAAGACCACCCAAAGATGTTAACAGACATGCGTGAAAGATAATTACATATGCTAATTAGTTCCTAGAAATATAATGAATATTTACATGTGTGATTGTATTTAACGCGAAGCAACAGGGTGTCTGGTGCGCACGTCTGGAGGAGAAATCCGTGTGCCCAGTGCCGCAATACTGGGGTTCTTGAGACCCAAGTGCAGGACCCTCACTTGAACCTCATATGGTTGCCCTCAACCGATCAATCCAGCCTGTCCAGATCCCTCTGAAGAGCCTTCCTACCCTTGAGCAGATCAACATTCCCACCCAACTTGTGGTTGTCTGCGAACTTACTAAGTGAGCACTCGATCCTCTTGTCCAGATCGTTAATAAAGATGTTAAACAGAACTGGCCCCAGTAATGAGCCCTGGGGAACACCGCTTGTGATCAGCCGCCAGCTGGATTTAACTCCAATCACCACAGCTCTTTGGGCCTGGACATCTAGACAGGTTTATACCCAGCAAAGTGTACACCCATCCAAACCATGAGCAGCCAGTTTCTCCAGGAGGATGCTGGGGGGAACGGTGTTCACGCAGATCAACATTCCCACCCAACTTGGTGTTGTCTGCGAACTTACTAAGTGAGCACTCGATCCTCTTGTCCAGATCGTTAATAAAGATGTTAAACAGAACTGGCCCCAGTAATGAGCCCTGGGGAACACCGCTTGTGATCAGCCGCCAGCTGGATTTAACTCCAATCACCACAGCTCTTTGGGCCTGGACATCTAGACAGGTTTATACCCAGCAAAGTGTACACCCATCCAAACCATGAGCAGCCAGTTTCTCCAGGAGGATGCTGGGGGAAACGGTGTCAAAGGCCTTGCTAAAGTCCAGGTAGACAACATCCTCAGCCTTTCCCTCATCCACTAAGCGGGTCACCTTGTAATTTAAGGAGATCAGGTTGGTTACACAGGACCTGCCTTTCATGAACCCATGCTGGCTGGGCCGGATCACCTGGTTGTCTTGCCACGTGATGGCACTCAAGGTGATCTGCTCCATAACCTTCCCTGGCACCAAGGTCAGACTGACAGGCTTGTAGCTCCCAGGATCCTCCTTCCAGCCCTTCTTGTAGATGGACATCACATCATTTTAGATCTGACATAAAACTTTTTTTTTAACTTGATGAATGGGATATTAACCTCACACTACATTTTCTCCTAGCTAAAAGACAAAGAAAACAATGCAGTGCTTAGATATGAGGGAGTGACAAAGAGGTGAGGGCGACTTCCGACAGTTTTCAGACATTCTGCAAATAATGCTAACGGTTTAATGACACAGGAAGAGGAATTCAGGTCTGGAGCATCACATATTCCTCCACAACGTGGTCAAACGCACCAAACAGCCAAACAGGTCTCTCAAACACCTCTGGGCCTGCATAACTGCTGGACTGCTGGAGGAAGGCACAGATTTGCACCTAGAGCAGGCTAGAACAGCATGAGGGTAACCTGCAGTTGGGAACAACTTTGTATTTCTAGCCCACCAATCCTGAAACCCAGAAGGGCTGCATGATCAGAAATGCTCTTGCGGGATCCAAGAGCCAAGCTCTTCCCTGCCATGAGAACATACCAGGCGATCACCGACGCTGTGCTCCCCACCTTCCCTTTTCAGTGTGTAAGTGGGGCTGACGGTGGAGTCCAATGAGAAGTCACATCTCCTCAGCGTCTGGATGAGGATGCAACTTGTCTTTCCACTTCATTTCCTTTGCTGCCTGTGCTTGAGATTTCATCACTGCCTAAGAGCTCCAAGGACTTGAGCCAGATGCAAACATGCAGGTTAGGAAGAACAACTGGAGGAACAGAGGAACATTTCTGCTCCTCTGGAAGCAGCTCCAAGGACTTCCGTCAGATGCAAACATGCAGGTTAGGGAGAACAAGTGGAGAAACAGAGGAACATTTCTGCTCCTCTGGAAGGGAATCTGGCTCACCTGGTGAGACAGGCTCACAGCACAAACATACTCACTGGGTTGCCGAGTCTGCACCACAATCCCATGATCTGAAGCACACACCACGCATTATCTCAGGCGAGTAATCTGTTGGAGTGGTTCGTGCTTTGACTACCACAAAATGACAGAACAGAGATGCTCTGTAGGTCCACATCCCAAGGTGAAAGGGGAAACCACCTACAGAAAACGCAGCATCGGCACCTCTCCCGTGTGCTGGGACTAGATCCTCAATAGTCATTCAGGACCTTAGCTTACGCCTGCCAACAACACAAGCTGTGGTTGGATCTGGCCGCACCTGGCATCAGGAATCACCTCCTTCTCCACCAGGGACCTTGCATTATGTAGTAAACAAACTGTAGCGCGGCTTCCACAGGGCTGGCTGGCTCAGGGGCTCAGCTCTCCGGCTCTGAAACCTTGTTCTGCCCTGATTTAGCAAAGTCCGATGTATTAAGATTTAGGACGTGCTGTAAGGAATCTGTGTGTTCCCAGGCTCCGGGCAGAAGTATGAAGGAAGTGACTGAGGTTGAAAGGGGCTAATTTTTTGTTTACTCCTGAGTAGCCAAATGGGCAAGAGCCTTATTTATTTTCAAGGGTTTGTTAATATTTTCAGTGTGCATGTGCCTGGAGTGATGGAAAGGCCCATTTTTAAATACTGAGATCTATAAATCTCTGTGACAAACTTACAGAAAGTTTTTTTCCTAAATGGAAAGAATCCCAACAAAAACCCTACCCAACGTGCTACAGCACGGGCGTTAAAACCTCACAACAGCAAAAATGCCGCTTCGTTTTCCAGCAACTCTGTGTTAATTTTGTGTAGACCTGGGGAATGACAGAGAGGGCAACTTTTTTGGTAGGCAGACACCCACAACTGTTTCTTAGCACGTCAGGTGGTGGCTCCTCAGCCTTTGGGACCAGTGGAGCTCCATCAGTCTTCCAGCATTTCTCATCAAACATCCCAATCGAACTTCAGATGGAAAGTGCCATTACATGGGAACAGCTCCAGCCACCAACTGGCTGGCCTCACAAACTGCCTCAGCGTCTGAAGCACCGATCTTAACGACACGGCTTGTTTTTCCACTGACTTCCAAACTGTCACAGTTTTGACAGTTAGGCAATTTGGGCTACATCTGCCGGTCTCTGAATGTGCACAGGGATATGCAATGACAGGCACAAAGATTTTAAAAACAACCTGGCACTACTGAGAGTGCTACTCCTGTATGCAAACTTGCACTGCTTACTCTGACAGACTTCCACTGCAGTAAATCAGCGTCACCGAAGCCAAGCAAGGAGCAGTGAGTATATGTGCAATGCTGATAATAAGAGCAAGATACTTGGATTGGGACTTGTAGCTATAAAAAGGCAGCAAAAAGGAAATGAGCAATTCTGTTCCGGTGTTTTAATCACACAGCAATAAAACGTAGAAGTTCCAAGTTCAAAGAAACAAAACCTGTGTTCTTTTTGATTTAAGTCTATGAGTTTCATCCGTTTGAGGCTTGCGGCTGATCCTCCCACTGTTGTTACACGGCCCTTATCTGTGTAAATAACAGTACCAGAATTGGGTCTGTGACAGTTTTTAAAGACCATTCCTTGATCTAATTACCTTTTACCCTTGGGAAAGCACCTGAATACTTTTGAGCCATATGAATCTGAAAATTTTTCAGCTAATATCACACAGGAAAAGAAGCGAGAAGGGATTCCAACCATAAATGCAGAACCTTACATCTTCTGACACTGGAAACTGCATTGACTTTTAACGTGAGTGATCCCTGGAATTCAATGGACTGAAAAGAGTAATACACTTCCAGTGGTGTGAGAAAGCAGGAGGATTCATGCTTGAAGAGCAAATATTTTCCTGTGTTTACATTTAAAAAACTATTAAACTCTCAATAGGGAGCAATGTTTAAAGATTCAAAGTTGAGAGGTACAATCCATTTTTTAAAACTCCTTCAACCTCCTTTTTCAGAGAAAGGGAAAATCAGCCATCATGCCAGCCCCGCGTGCTGCCAAGGCCCGTGCGCTTGTTCCGCCTGCGCACACACAGAGCTGTGCCGGCGCAGCCACACACGCAGGGCGAAGGGGAGCAGAACGAGCCCGCTGCCGCCAGCTCGAGGGCACCGGCACACCACCGCAGCGTGCCTGGGTTTTTGGTGCGAGGGTGGACGGGAGCTGCTCTTCGTGGTGCCTTCTCCCCAGTAGCCAAAGCATTTTCCTTTCGTGAATACCGCTGGAAACAGATGCTGCCTCAGCAAGCAGTAATGTCCACTCCAGGCTCCACAGGTCCTATCTGAAGCACCTCGAAAAACAAACAGGCCTGGGAAACCAGTGGCAGTCAAACGAAGAAGCAAGCCACGCTACCCGCACGATGGGTGGAATGAGAGAGAATGGCATCCGCGCTCTCCCCACGTTACCATCTCAAGGACTGGCACTGGTCTTCTCGGTGCCACTGTCAAAAGTAGCGGGGTGACTGGCAATGCTCTGAAGGAAGGCTGGCTTGGTGGCCTGGAAAGACCGCAGGTTGAGTTCGGTTTGAAAACGCTGCCCAGTTGCCACCCAAGTTGCTGGTACCTTGCCACTCCACTGCTCAGACTGAACGTGGGTGGCTGACTCTGCCACCAGCAAACACCCTGCCAAGCCACAGCAACTACTGTAACATACATGGCAACTGCCTGACAGAGCATTAGGTCAAAAAACCAAACAAAACTAACCAAACTGAGAAAACGGTTACTACTGCAAAACCAGGCGCTCAGAGTCAGAGGACCATGAGAACCATCTCAGTTGCTGGCTCAGCAATGGAGAAGAAGACATGCAAGAAAAGAGAGTGAGAGAAAACCACAATTTTCCGATTGTGGAGAAAGCTTTAGAGTCGCAACCAGAGTGCGGGGGGGTGTCCTGACTTTGCTGTAGATCTTCATAAGACGGGTAAGAAGAAATCTTGATGCAAACACATGCAGAAAGGCCAAGTCAAGTTCTCCTAAGCAATCTCCATTCTGCTGCCTCTCATTTTTGGAATGCTTAACCCTATGTTCCCAAAGGTTTAATTCCTTCAGCACACCGTTAATTAACAAAAGGTCAAAAAGAAAATCTATCTCCACCGAATCTCCCATGTGATTCCTCCCTGTGTGAATGTACTATTTGAAAAGTTGGAGGACTACTAACTTCCACTAGGGTGAAGAAACCAGCGTTAGTGGCAGGCTGTTCTTCATAAACAAGCCATGCAAAGGCATCAGTGTCATACTCTGGTATTCTGCTCTGTGCAGATCGAAGACACCAGCATTCTGGAGCCTATGGCTCGATGGGCTCCTGCTACAAAGCCACAGAGAAGCTGCAAAACCTCAACAAAACTACGAGATAAAATATCGTCAGCTGTGTTTTTAAGATCTCCTTTGAACACAAACATCCGTATCTTCTAAGGCTGCAGTAACTCCTGTTTCTGAAGGACGTTCACACTCAGGAATTCACAGTATCTTTCAGTTCTGCTTCCACTCTGTGTGAACCAACCTAAAAAACTATTGTTGTTTCCTTCCTCACATCACTCGTGCTCCAGACAAACGCCGGGATGAAATGGTTCCTACTGACTGATAATTCCCGCCAACACCTGCCAGTGCACAATGTGCTACTGCATTGACCGTCCTTCTCCTCCCATCCCTTAAGGCCTCATCACAGACCTCAACTGGGTGATGGCTCCCACGGGGACAAATTCTGGAAGCCCACCTGAAGCCAAGGGCTTCTGCTTGCTGCAGCCAGTCACCACAACACGGCACAGGTGCAGGCTTCTTAGAAGCAGCGTCAGGCACAGCAGAGAGTAAGACGAGACATGAATCTAACAGGGAGGCTGGTACCAAATAGTAACCAGGGGCTAACGGAAACCCAGCTATGGGTCTGCCTTACAACTAAACTCCACGTATTACACACACCAGCTGAAATGCCTTTGCTAACTTCCCTTTGACCAGGATGCTGTGGACTGTTCTGCGCTGACCGTAATGTGGCCCAACTTGCAAGAAAACGGAAGAGGTGCTCTTTTTCGGCTTTGCAGGCGATAAACACCAGGGCAA